AAGAATCACATGTCTGTGTGTCACAGGCAGCATATAAGCTGTCTGTCCTCTAATAAAGCGGACATTTTTGCCAATCATATTGATTTGTGTGCATTTCTGTCTGACCCCCTCCGCCGATAGCTCGTAGAATAGTTCTGGGTTTTGTTTTTTTTTTTTGTCCCTCCCTTCATCTCCAGTTGTGGCAGATATTATTAACTATTGCACAAGTGTCTCTTGCTGGATTGGAGAATGGAGGATTGTTTCATTTCACTGGGTTTGCTGATCCTAAAACTACTGGAGTGGAATTTTAGCTCTAGACCAGACCAAATTTGAATTTTTGCTGGAGGAATGTATGGTGCTGAGCTATTTGAACTAAAACGTTGCTTCTTCCTTTGTGGTGTTTGGACACTGTGACTGCACTCTTAGAGAGATGTTTCGGTATTTTGTCAGAATGAAGCTTTTCTCATGCTGCTTATCATTACCGTTTGAATTTCACAATACTCATTGTATTATGTTATTTAGGCTGTAGTGGAGAGAAGTTGGTGAAGTATTTAATAACAAATTGCAAGCATTTCCTTAGTGATTTTTGCAGACCTGCCTGTCTAGTCCAGAGAATGTGAAGCTCAGCTGTAACGCAGTCCCTCTGTGCACATTGAACACACAGAGGATCTTTTTCCTGGTTTGGATGTCACTGGCAGGGTCTGTCTTTGCTTTAAAGCATTGCGTTTGTCTTTGCTCAACAGTGTTTTCCATGCTTTCTTAATATCATGCCACTTTTAACTTACTGCAGATATTCAAAGAAAGTTTCCCGCTAGCTGGAAGGAAGGCAGTCTAGAGAAGTTTCCTTTCTGAATGCTCTAGGTGTGGGTGTGTGCCAGGACAAATACTTTTGCTGCTGCTTTGATGGTTGTCTCTGAACTTGGTTTGCATTCTCTTTAAAAGCAAAGGACTGAAAATCTATAGGGATAGGATTTGTAGCAGTTCACCTGTATGTGATACTTGCATGCAGTCTAGACCTGACTCTTGCAAAAAAACTCCTACCTATAATAAGTAAATCAATAAAAACTGTCATTTCAGCTTAGTCTGTTCCACTTGTTCTCTCCTAGGTTCTGTGGTCGCCTGTGCAAAACCTTCCCCATCTGCCCCTGACTGGAGTAGTTCAAATGCAGACAATCATATTGGTCACAGGGATCAGCCTTGACTTCAGGAAAAGGAATTGCGACTAGTGAAGGACAAGGTATGTTCTTATGGGCTTGGCTGATCTTAAAATGTGGAGGATCTGAGCTGCGTGACCTTGCTCAGCCTCCAAATGCCAGTCTGGAGAGGCCCAGGGCACTGTTAGGATGTGCACTGGATATGCTTGACCCGCACAGGTGTCTGAATTCAGGGGATATGGCACCACAGAGGCACCTTTGTCATGTCCTTGATCTCTGCCTGAACTGGAGTGAAATTCCTGGCTGAACCTGGGCAGCCATGTGATCCCACCCTGAAAGATCCAGTCCTGGGCAAGGAGGTTTCCAGTGGCACTTGGGTTTCCTGTGGATGTCCAAGAGATCCTGTGCCCAGCTCTGATCAGTGGGACACAAGGCTCACAGGAGACATGTCCTTTCCTGCAGAAGCTGCACATGGTGCTTGAAGCAGGAAAAGCTCTAAAACGAGGAGGGAGGGCAAAGATCTCGGCCAAGCACAGGAGGTCTATTTTGAAATTACCATGCCCTCAGTAATCATTGTCATCCTGGGAATTTGTAAAGATGATGTAAACACAACCTTATCATATGAACAATGCAGTCATTTCTTCTGATATTGACCTCAAAGTTATTTTTGGGAGCTCAATTATAGGAACAAAGATTTCAGAACTGAAACAGGAGAGGTTCTGGCTGCACTGAAGGAAGACTCATGAGGCCAATCCAGCAGGAACAGGGCCCTGGGAACCACTTGGTCAGTGAAACTGTGCAGTCACTGCTGGGGACAGAGGAGAAGGAAAGTCACTCCTTTGCCTCTTGAATGTGTCTTTCCATTCTGTGGGTTGGTTTATTATAAATCACATGGTTAAAAAACCCAACCCCCTACCTTGGCAGGGCCTTATAAGGAGTGTTTTGCTGACAGCAAAACCAGAGCCAACCCAGCTCATTCCCTCTCTGGAAGCTCTGCTTGCAAGTGCTGGGCAGGCACATCCCCACTGCCGGGGTTTTCCTCCCCCCCACACACAGTCTGCACAAACACAGCAAAGAGCAGAGGAAACCTCTGGAATTCACCTGCTCCAGCCCCACTGCTCCAGGAGGGCCGATTGCAGGTGGTTGCCCAGGATTAGGTACAGCCAATGCAGCTGCTACCTCAGCAATAAAGTTTTGGGGTTGCATCTGTCAATCAGAGATGCTGGAAGACATCAGCAAACACCCCTCATTCCTGGGAGCTGGGATGAGGTCTGTTCTCCTCTCAGGATGACAAGGGTGGGAGGGAGCAGCCAACTGGACGTGGGGCTGTTTGGACCTGGGCAGCTTTGTCTCAAACACTGAGCAATATGATCCCAGCAAGAAACTCCTGTGAGTGGACAAACCCTATGCTTCCATTTGCTGCTGAATCTCTCCTCTTCCTTGACATCTTCCCAGCATGGCCTAGAGCATGGTCTTAGAGAGCATATTCTAGAGAGAAGTGGAATTGCATTGGAACACCCTCCCCCCAAGGGAAGTTTTCAGAAATTTAATGTGATTCTCTAAATAGACCTTGAGTTACTCCCCTGGCCAAAGTTTCTGCTCCCAAATTCCTGCAGAGCAATGGAGCAGCTGAAAGTGGAAACGTCCTGGCTCCTCAACCTGAAAACATCTTAAATTGCAGTGATCCTAAACCCAACGGTGAGGCAGCTCTCCTGTGAAGCAGAGCTGTGCCCTTCTGGGGGTATAAGGATGGACAGCCCAGGGCATCTCAGCTGTCATGAGAGGTTTGTGTGTGAGTAGCTGAGTCCAGCACTCGCTGTCCTTCCCATGAACTCAGGACAACTGCAAAAGAGAACACCAGGCTTAGGATTTACACATCTTCACTGCTGCCCTGTTAGGTTAAAACACACTCAGATTGAATTTGTTCTTGTTGTTGTTTCCTTTCCCATGATGTTTCCCAGATCATCTGTGACCTGGAAGGGAGGAAAGGCTCCAAGAGAATGGCTTTTGCCTTGAGACAGAGAAATGAAGGGTTGGGCTCTGATCAGAGATGTTTGGCAGAGATGATGGTCAGTCCTTCCTCCTGAGAGAGCCTCACCTGCTCTCCCAGCTCGGAGACCTGTGCCTATGAGAAAACAAGCCGTGCAAACCCTAACTGTGTCAACAATACAAACCCGTCCAGCTGTCGTTGATCTGCACAGCCAGAGAACTTCCTCCCTGAGGACACTGCTGTCAGAGCTGTGAGATCAGAGCAGGAGGGTCAGGCCTGGCCTGAGCAGCCAGATGGGTCCCCCAGCCCCCTGCAACCTCCCCCACAGTGTTGCCCTGGTTTGACCCAATGGCTGCATGTCCCCCAAAGTACAGCAGGACCCAGGGAAAGGGTGTGTGGAGCAGCTGTGCAGCAATGAGGGACAGAGCTGCTTTGGGGAGGGCAGGAGGATGATTGCTTCCTCCAGCTCCCATGGACCTCTGAGCAAAGGGGGCGATTTCCAACCCCTCTGAGGGATTTATATTGTGGGACCTGATATATGCTGGAGCCCTTTTGAGAGCAAGAGGTATCCACCTGGAACCACAAACCCACCCAAAATTGCATTGGGGAGGTGTCAAACAGGAGACAAGGGAGATTCAGGATGGAGCCACGTGGGTGGGAAGGTTTTCACCCAGCACAGACTCTGCAGGTGGGAACGTGGACAGGGGCACGGGGCTGAGCTGGGTTGCTGCCCCTCTGACCAAACCCCTCTGTGCCCCAGGGTGCAGGTGCCGGTGTGATGGCCCAGGACATCTGCAGCTCCCCAGGGGATGGTGAGTACCGGGATAGGTCCATAAATGGAGCTGTGGGTGACTGGAAATGGGAAGAAATAGGGGCTTTGTGTAGACGGCAAAATTGGGTGAACAATTTGTCCTGCATTTTGAGGGCCTTGCCTTGGCATAGCTAAAGCACAAACAGCAAAAGAAGCTGCGTAGCTAACATGGCTACAGGCTCTGAAGTTAGAACTTCAGAGAAGAAGGCTCCCTGCCAAGATCAAGGAGGAGTCTTAGAAAGCTAAACAAGTTTTTTCATCTCTTATGGACACCTGCAATGCTCCAATTAACACCGGACAACAAAGTATGTTTCTCTTATGTGTCCAATGCTGTGTGTAGCAGCAGTATATAATAAACCTTCTTCTTCTAATAAACGGACATTTTGCCGACCATATTGGCCTGTGAGCAGTCTGTTCCGAGCCCCTCCACCGCTAACTGGTGCCCGTGAAACAGGGACTCCTCGTTTGCCGTTCTGAGGGATGAAAGGCGAACGCAAAGGAAGCTGAGGGAAGCAGTTGAAGAAGCAGCGCTGTCCCTGGCGCTAAGAATTCTAAAACTGTGCGCGGCGAAGCGGAATCTCGCCTTGGCCAGGTGAGCGACTGGAGGAGGGGCATAGGACCCACGCTTTCAAAAGAAGAAGAGGCGGTGGAAAAGCTCCTCCAATTTATAATCTCTCTAAGAGAGCCTAATTATGATACCAGTGCCCTTAAAAGGCTACTCGAGTGGGTGAGAGCAAAGCAACTAATCCCCACAGCTCAAGCTGCCTTTGAGGTGTCCTCATGGGACACTATAAAGGAACAGTTACGGGAAGAGATCTCTAAGGGATCAAAAGATGCTAAAAAATATCCTACGCTTTGGCATCTGATAGTTATAACGCTATGCACTGAGCATCTGCGGCTGCAAAGGCGGCTGCAAAGGTGACTTTCCAGGGAGACGGCGAGATCGCGGTGCAAACGTGCGTAGAACGGTTTGTTTTTGGGGAGGTCTTGGCGCCTGCACCTGCAAAGACGCGAATGCTAAAAGTCTTAAAAGCCGCAGGCTTGTCTCGGTTCAGCAGCGCGCCAGCGCTGGCAGAAAAAGCAGAGACCGTGGAGAACAAAGCTGGCGCTGTGCCAACGGCACCGCCCTCTACTGCGCCTGTGCAGGCAATACTGCCACCTTCTACTGAGCCTGTGCAGTCAGTGGCGCCACTCCCCACTGCCACTGTGCAGGCGCCGCCCGGAACAGTGCTGCCAGGAGCCTCCGCGTCACCAGGGGGTGCTGCATCACTACTGCCTGGAACTGCCATGTCGCACGGATTTGCGTCATCAGGAGCCGTCGCACCTGAACCCGGAAGAAAGCCTGCGAGAATCGCTGTTGTAGCGACTGGAGGTATTCTGAAAAAAGCTGCCACTACGCCGGCGGGAGCCGCCATCATTCCAGCAGGGGCAGGAGCTACCGCAGGAGGTATAAATATTACAGATGGATCTCTGCCAATTAAATCACAAATTCTCCGTCGCCCTTTCATGACAAGCTGTGCAAACAATTCAGGTTGTGTCATGATTGTCTTTTTGGGTTGATATGGTAAGAATACCCATTCCAAAATTCTTATGCTGGTTGCGATTTGACAGATGATGCCCAATGGATGCTTCCTGCTCTCTCCAGAATTGACAAGTAGGTACTGCACTGGCTGGTCCTCTGTTATTCGACAGGCATATCCTGCAGCTATCTTTCCGGAGATGTTAACTATAGCTGCCTTTTGGTCTTCTGACAATTCTCTTGGAAGTCCTACCTGAGCAACTGACCCTAGCAAAGGCATCAGAGGAGCTAGATCATCATTGGTTATTCCAGGGTCTCCTCAGCTCCGAGACCTCCTTGTGTGCAGGGTCTCCCTGGATCCGGAATCTCCTTCCTGGCTCCCAACCACCCCCAACCGCCAAAGCCTTCCCCTCCTATGCTCCCCTCCAAGCCCCTTATGGGTCCCTTCTGGAATCAGTAATGTCGTGGAGAGATTCCTCTCCAACTTCCTGGTCGAAAAACGGAGCCAATTTCCTGGTCATGACGTCCTGGGCAAAGTCCCTGGGGCCTGACAACTTTACCTGGTGTAACTGGTTTAACTGGTTTAATTATCTAATATAAGTGGTTGAATTGGTTTATCTAATTTAACTCATCTAATCTGTCCAAATTTAAACTCTTTAAATGGTTTAAATGATTTAAATTTAAGTTTAAAAATAAGTTTAACTAGTTTAATTGTTTCATCTAATTTAAAAAGTTTTATTGGTTTGTCTACTTAAACTGGTTTTATTGTCTCACAGCTTAATTAGTCCAAGTGGTGTAGGAGACCAGATTTAGGGCTGATTGGCTCAAAACAACCCTGTGGGAAGTGGTGGGGTGTGGCTGAAAGGGTTAACACTGTATAAGAAGGATGCCACAAAGAACTATGGGAGAGTCTGCACAGCAAGCCCCTGGAGAGAGTACTCGAGGGAACATGCCCACTGGAAGGAGTGGCTAAGAACTGTGGGAAATACATGATGTCACAGGAGGTATATAAGGACTTGTTAGCACACAAGTAGTTGATTTTACAGCTGCACATGCATCTGTTTGGTCCGTGAATACAAATGCTACAGTGGGGGAACAGGGAGAGCTATGTCTAGGTGAGATGGGCACTGCTGCCACCCCCAGAGCCTCAGTCAACCTCTGGTCCTCACTGGAATGGGGCCGATACAGAGCCTGTGATGGCCCTGAAATGGCACTGACCCACAGTCTGTGACAGCTGTGAAATGGCATCAGATCATGGCCTGTGACAGCCCTGAAATGGCACCAACCCATGGCCTGTGATGGCCCTGAAATGGCACTGACCCATGACCTGTGATGGCCCTGAAATGGCACCAACCCACGGCCTGTGAGAGCCCTGAAATGACACCAACCCATAGCCTGTGAGAGCCTGGAAGTGAGTTATTGCAGAACAGATGAACAGAGAGCAAAGGTGGGGTGTGAAAAAGCTGCAGACAGTGTTCGAAACAACTGCCACCAAAACTTGGAAGAACTTGGGAGAGCTTTCATCATAAATAGCCTTGACTTTTTATGCCTTCAGCCAGTGCAGAGATGTCCCACCTGATAACTGATCTTATACATTGGTTTTCGAGCACATCCTCATGTGTTGCTCTATTTCACCTCCTTTATCTCAAGGCAAAATAGCCGTTTATTATTTGTCTGAGTTCAGAGGTCAGGAATATTCATGGTTAGTAATTGTTGCTGAGATTTTTAACAACTAAATCAGCATTAGAATTGACATCCCTAACCTGTCTATGGGACCTTTCAAGGTGGAGGAGCAAATCCCATTTTGCATCCTGAGTTAACCACTAAAATCTCTTTATTGTTCTTTCTCAAGGCATCTCTCATTGCCTTGCATTAAGTTTGCCAATTGATTGCAAATCTTAGTTTCCAGATTTGAGCACTATCTGGACCCCTCTTATTTGTTTAACTTTATACTGCTCTATTTGGGGGAATCAGTTTGTAGAAGTACAGCTGTGACTTGGTTTCAAGTCTCATCATCTTGGCAAACCTTATGGCCTGACACTGATTATGGCAATAGTGCAATGGCTCCTCATTTTGGTTTACATTCTCCCCTTTACCCTGAGTTTCCTCACCTTGTTCCAATATTTGATCCCCCTCATGGTACAAAGCACCAAAAGAAAATCTTCCAGACATTGAATCAGAATTTATGTTGCAGCTTGTGTCTGTTGCCTCTTACCCGATCAAGGTACATCTCTAAGTGATGTCATATGGAGAGAGAAATGTAGGAAGAACAGTGAGTCCCAGACTGGTCCCTGAGTCTTACAGGCACTGTTGTCTGGGCAGGTGGTAGAGTCTCCATCCTTGGAGATATTCAAAAGCCTCTGGATGAGGTTCTGACCAAGTGGTTCCAGGTGTCCCTGTTTGAGCAGGGCGGTTGGACCAGATGATCTCTCCAGGTCCCTTCCAACCTCAACTACTCAGTGTCTCTGTGACTCTGTACAGGGCATGAGAGACCTGAAGCCACAAATTTCAGAATCTGTAAGGTCTGAGGTAGCTGGATCTGTGCCTGGTTCCTGTGTGTTTAATTTTCACTTCCCCTTGGCCATTTGATCATTTGCACGTATGGTGATAGGAAGTGCGTAAGAAGATGAGTGGTGTGATCCAAAGGCACAGAATCCTTCTGAGTTGATGTAGTATTGACCAATAAACAAAATGCAAGTCAGGAAGCAACTCAAAAGTGTCTGGAAAAATCATTATAGTGTGTTGTCTGTATCACTTTATTCCCTAATTCTGATGGTGGTTGAAGAAATAATGGAGCTGGAATTTTGATGTCCTAAGGAGAAGTCATGAAAGGAATTGTATGTTGCTTCCTACTTTTTGTGTCCAGTCTTGTAACAGACAGATAACATACAAATGCCAAAAATTATGTTTCGCCATTGTTTCTGCCTGTCAAGAACTTCCTACCAAAACTCCTGTGTCAGTTTTTCACCAGAAGTTCTCACCAGAGTCTTCCCACGGGAGTTTTCCTGCCAAAGGATCCTGGTATTGTCCATCCTTATCATATCTCTGCGAACATCTGAACAGGGCTATGTGTCAAAACACCACAGACTACCTACTTGAACACTATAAAAGCTGAAGAGAAATTTGGGAAAATTAGGGAAAGAGGAGTGAGCAAGAGAGTTTGGCTATACCAGCTGAAACATCTTGTCTCCGCCTCGCCCTCACCTTTTCTTTTCTTCCGCCGCCGTAAAACTGCCTGCCCGTCACCAGAGACTGAACCTCTGCCATCTGGAATTGGACCGGAACCCTCCGTGCTTCCTGAGTGAGTTTTTTTTCCACCCTAACCCTATTTCTGAGAGGTACAGCAGGACGGAGGCCTCGGCACAAGCCTGAGACAGAGCCGGTGTGAGCGACGGCGTGAACTGCGGAGAAGCCCACATCCTGGCTGCATTCCCTGCAGCTAAAGAGATAACATCACACCGAAAAGCGGCGGAGCCCGAGAGGAAAAAAAAAGGCAAAAGCTGCTTCTTTCTCTCCCTCTCCCCCCCACACTCCACAAGTCAGCTTGGACGAATAGGTAGTTCTCGGTGGTAATCTTTTCCTATGCTTCTAAAAAGTAATCTTAGCATTTTCTAACCTTTTCTTATTTTTTCCTCTTTCTCTTTGCATCTCTTAGCAATTAATAAAAGCAGTTTTGGCATCAACAGTTAACTTGTATGAGTTTTAATTTTGCTCAAGGGAACATTCGAATATAAAAATTCTTTCTGCAATAATTTAGCAGATTGTAACAAGCCTTCATTACATTTTCCCTAAGCTTGACCTCCCACCCCTCTGCATAACCTGGGCTCACTGTGTTGGGAAGTGCTCGTGCTGCCGGAAGACTCAGATAATTTTTAGGACATTTCTCCCTCCTGTGACTTGGTGCCTGATCCTCCCGTGCCAGGACAGATCCATTGAGTGCCTGGTTTAACAAATGACGTGAACAGCAGCCAAAGTGCAACCCAGAGCAGAGCAGCTGAATTACCCAGCGAGTTCTACCCAAAATCTCAGGGAAGAGTCCTGGGAATATTGGACTGTAAGTGTTTTAACAGTTTCTATGTGTGAAGAATCTGGGATGTACAGCACTATGGGAACCATTTCTTGTGGAAAACGAAGTGTTAAGTTCCAATTATGATTTTTATGTGATATGTTTAATACATTTGCATTTCCTGGTTCTTTTTTTCCCTGTTTCTCTTTTTAATCAATGTATATCAGTACAAGTTTACTCTTTGAATATTCCTTCTAAAGCTGAAACCTGAACTGCAAACATGTTTCTCCAGGGTTATTCTGCAAATTTACACCCATGTTTTCTGTCTGGTTCTTAAAGAATCTTTTAGGAAAACAGAAAATAAGGTAATGGAGGGAGAGAGACAGATGTTGCTATTCCTTGTTCCAGTGAGTCTGTGTCTTGTCATCTGACCATGTCAGGAGCAAGGGATATATTTCGTAACAAGAACTATGGGGCTTAATAATATACAAGGACTTTAAATTAAAAAAAAAAAGATGCAAAACATCTTTAGGATGTGAAGTCTGATGAGAATTGGATTTAATATTCTCTCTTCCAGGTGTCAAGGCTGTTCACTCTCCCTGCTGTCCTCATTCTTTGTGGCCTCTGCCACATGTTCCCCTGCTGGTTCTGCTGGAAGGATGAAGAAGGACATGGGAGAGAGGAGCTGCAGAGCCTGTGAGAGGAAGGAGCCAGGAACCATCTTGAAGAATTGAAGAAAGAGGGGGCAAAGCAGAGAGTGGAACAGAAAGTGAAAACTTCTCTGCAGTGTGTTAATGCCAATTTCTGGAAAAACACAGTAAAGGAACACAGTAAAGAAAAATACAGACAGTTGTAGAGTCTACTGTTAGGGACCCGTGGGCAGAGAGACAACCAGCAGTGGAACAGAGTGTACCTCTCCCCTCCTGCAGGGATATGACCACAGCACAACCAGCTCCAGAAATCCCCTCAGTGCTCTGAGGGGGTGGCAGCGACTGTGGCCCAAAGGGCCAGAGCAGGTGCCGACGTGGCAACTCCAGGATACTTGATCTGCGCCTCCTGGGCTTGCTGGGGAAAGTTCCCCCTCTCCTCCCACCTCAGCCCTCCTGGCCCCCAAAGTAGGTCTGGCTCTTGAGGTGTCAGAAGAGTCAGCTGGGTTTATCATCCTGCTCTAGCTGCTGCTGACAAGCCAGCAGGGACCATCAGACAGCACCTATCACCTTCTTATCCATCTTGCTATATCTTGGCCCTTGTTTTCTTGCTCTTTTATCTCTGAGAAAATGGTTGAAGAGGGAAAAACTCATACAAACCATGAGGAGAAAACTGGGAGCCAGCCAGAAATGACATGAAGATGGAGATTTCAGGCCTGGATCAAGAGTCCTCTGGAGAGATAAGCAGAGCAGAGGATTCCCAGCAGCATTCCCAGATGTCCAGGACCACAGAAGTGCTCTCATTGGAGCTGTCTGAGATGAGATCCCATGGACTCTGGGATCTCTCCCATTTCACTTGTCCCCTTGGTGATGTGAGTGGCCATTTTGACCAGGGCTGAAGACCTCCTGCAACTTGTCTTGGATGGGGACACGTAGAAGGAAGCAGGAGCTGGAGGTGAGGAAACTCAGAGAGCATTCAGGGTCACAGGCAGGTTTAAAGGTGAGATTCACACCAGAGCTGGTGGCAGCTGAATGGCAGGGCACTTGCTTGGATCCATTTGGCATGGAGATATTATGGCTCTATCTACTCTGCGTAATGCACCATTTCTGAAAAGAAAGTAACTTTACAGGCTGTCCCTTGCACAGGCAGCTCACCTGTGCCTGCTTGTCCCAGAAAGCTCACAAGGACCACTGAGCAAACAGGAGATTCCAGTGCCATGCCGTGGTTCATGCCCAGCACCACATAGTTCCAGATATCCTTTGGATAACACTGAAACACTGTTCCTTGTAATCTCCTTGATTAGAGTGGAGTCTTCTGGGCATGGGGAACAACAGAGGCTTCTTTTCTGTCCTAGTCTGCTCATTTGAACCCAGAGACTCAGACACTAGTTTCCCACCAGCAGCAGCCCAGCAAGGCACTGTGGTTTTCTCTGAAAGCAGCTGGGGGCTGTGGGTCAGACGCACTTGCTGTGGCTTTGTTCTGTCCCACCCCTACAGTAACTGCTGGGACAGGACTGTGGTGGTGGCTTACTGCCACTGTTGGAATGGACATGACACTGAAAGTTCACTAGAAAGATTTTATTGAAGAGAATAGGAATGACTTTGCACTTTTACAACTCCTTTTATACATTTCTTAGGCATACGTGTTCTCTACTTATAGGTTAATTTCAAACACAGCAACATAGTCTTATAGATTGACTCTATAGATTGACTCTTTCAATCTTACTTTCCCACACTTTCTCAGCACATCTGTTCTGTTATCTGGTCTATGTCTTACTCAGTCCCTTTATCCACAAGAAGTTCTAGTTTCTCACAGACAGCTTTCCTCCTGGTACTTTTCCATTCTTCCAGGGTACATCAATATGTTTTCAGGGTTAATGCCTTCATTCTCAATCACATCCTCATTCCATGTCAGGCCTTCGGTCCAGCTGAGTTTCCCCATAGGTTACCATGGCAACCTGCTTCAATGCCTGTTGCTGGGGTCTGTTCTCATGGAGACTTGCACAGAGAGCTGTTACTGGGGTGGTTGATGTGGCAACCAGCACTAGGACCTGGGACTTGGGTATCTTGGGACCGGGGCTGTACCCAAGGGGACAAAGACTTGGGATTTCTTGGTGACTCCCAGCGTTGCCAGTGCCCTTGGTCATCTCCAGCACAACTTGTCCTGTGTGTTTGAATATTTCTGTCACTTGTCTTTATTCCGGACATGTATCTTAATGAACTGTTACAAAGTCCCGTTGCTGGAGTGAGCCCAGGCCCTCAGGCAGAGGGGATCTCCCAGTCCCTGTGACAGCCTGTTGGTCACAGCCTTGTGCTGGGCTGTCAGAGACCCTGCTCTGCCTCTCTGTGAGATGCCCCACGGCCTGAGGGACAGACACAGGAAGCTCTGTTCGCAGAAGCACATCCCAGGGCTGCATTCAGGTGGTTTCCCAGGGGATGTGACTCTCAAAACAAAATGATCTCAAGACACTGTCCTTCATGGCCTCTCTAGAAGTAGCTGATGGAATTTGTGCTCACTCTGGTTCATCTCTCCACACACAGACACACGATGTGAATGCTTAACTCTCTTCCATACACTGCAAATATGCTCATTTGATGTTCCTCCAAGGGGGACAAACAGCCGCAAGGAGCTGTCCGAGGGTGGATAACAACTGCCCTTCCACCCAGCAAAGAAAGCCCTGAGCCTCCGTCTCTCCTTTGCAGCTGGTGCACCATTCTCGGCACAACAGGCACAGCAAGCGCTTTCTACCCCGGCACCTTTAGTCTGGGAGGAATCTTCGTCCGTATTCAATTTTGGGCCTTGGACGGTCCCTTGTGGTGCAGTGCACCTAGCAGCGAATGACGACCCTTCCACTCAGGACAGAAAGCCCTGAGCATCTATCTCTCCTGTGCAGCTGGTACACCACTCTCAGTGCTAAGTGCACAGCAAGAGCTTTCTGGGCGGACACCTTTAGTCTTCCATATGGAATTTTGGCCCTCAGACGGACCCTTGCAGCTGGTGAATGACTGCCCTTCCACTGAGGAAAGAAAGCCATGAGACTCCGTCTCTTCTGTGCAGTTGTTGCATCACTCTTGGCACAACAGACACAGCAAGCACTTTCTGCCCAGGCAACTTTGGCCTAAGAGGAATCTGCCCAGGCAGAAAGCTCTTGCTGTGCTCGTAGTGTCAAGAGTGGCACACCAACGGCAGGTGAGAGATGGAGGGTCAAGCCTTTCTTTCCTGGCTGAAAGAGCAGTCATTGGTGGGCAGGAGCAACGCACCGAAATCGGCCGTCTGAGGGCCAAAAGTGAATATGGACGAAGATTCCTCCCAGACCAAAGGGGCCCGCCCAGAAAACTCTTGCTGTGCATGTGGTGCCGAGAGTGCTGGACCAGTGGCAGGTGACAGACGGAGGGTCTGGTCTTTTTTCCCTGGCGGGAAGGGAGCCGTTCGTGGGCAGGAGCCCCATTCCTACATGGGCTGTCCGAGGGCCAAAACTGAATCCAGATGAAGATTTCTCCCGGCCCAAGGTGGCCACCCAGAAAGTTCTGGCTGTGCACACAGTGCTGAGAGTGCTGCACCAACAGCAGGTGTGGGATGGAGGGTCAGGCTTTTCTTTCCTGATGGGCAGTCGTTCGTGGGCAGGAGCCCCGTTCCTAAATGGGCCATCTGAGGCCCAAGAGTGAATATGGGCGAAGATTCCTCCCAGACCAAAGGGGCTCGCCCAGAAAGCTCTTGCTGTGCACATAGTGCCCAGAGTGCTGCACCAACGGCAGGTGAGAGACAGAGGCCCAGGCCTTTTTTTCCGGCTGGAAGGGCAGTCGTTCCAGGGGAGTAGAGCCGCGCCGCACTCAGCCGTCCAGGGGTCAAAAGTGAATACGGAAGATTCCTCCCAGACCAAAGGGGCCAGCCCAGAAAGCTCTGGCTGTAGATGTAGTGCCCAGAGTGCTGCACCAACAGCAGGGGAGAGACGGAGGGTCAGGGCTTCTTGTCGTGGCTGGAAGGGCAGTCGTTGGTGGGCAGGAGCCCCATTCCTAAATGGGCCGTCCCCGGCCCAAAAGTGAATAGGGACAACAATTCCTCCCAGACCAAAGGGGTCCACCCAGAAAGCTCTTGCTGTGCACGTAGTGTCGAGAATGCTGCACCAACAGCAGGGGAGAGTCGGAGGGTCAGGCCTTTTTTCCTGTCTGGTAGGGCAATCCTTTTTCGGCAGGAGCCCCGTTCCTAAATGGGCCCTCTGAGGGCCAAAAGTGAATACAGATGAAGATTCCTTCCAGACCAAAGGTGCCCGCCCAGAAAGCTCTTGCTGTGCACGTTGTTCTGAGTGTGCTTCAGTAATGGAAGGGGAGAGACGGAGGGTCAGGCCTTTTTTTCCTGGTTGGAAGGGCAGTGGTTCCAGGGGAGGAAAGCTGCGCCGCACTTGGCCGTCCGAGGGCCAAAAGTGAATATGGATGAAGATTCCTTCTAGACCAAAAGTGCCCGCCCAGAAAGCTCTTGCTGTGCACGTAGTGCCCAGAGTGCTGCACCAATGGCAGCTGAGAGATACGGGATCAGGGTATTTTTCGCGGCTGGACAGACAGTCATTCGTGGGCAGGACCCATTTTCTAAATCAGCCATCTGAGGGCCAAAATTGAATATGGACAAAGGTTCCTCCCTGACTAAAGGTGCTCACCTAGAAAGATCTTGCTGTGCACATACTGCAGACAGTGTTGCACCAACGGCAGGTGAGAGATGGAGGGTCAGGCCTTACTTTCCTGTCTGATGAGCAGTTTTTCGCGGGGAGGAGAGCCGCGCAGCCCTCAGCCATCCGAGGGCCAAAACTGAATATGGACAAAGATTCCTCCCAGACCAAAGGGACCCACCCAGAAAGCTCTTGCTGTGCAGGTAGTGTCCAGAGTGCTGCACCAACGGCAGGAGAGAGACGGAGGGTCTGGGCTTTTTTTCCGGCTGGAAGGGCAGTCGTTGGTGGGAGGAGCCCCTGACTTAAGATTCCTTCCAGACCAAAAGTGCCCGCCCAGAAAGCTCTGGCTGTGCATGTAGTGTCGGGAGTGGCACACCAACGACAGGTGAGAGACAGAGGGTCAGGCCTTTTTTCCTGGCTGGAAGGGCAGTTGCTCTGGAACAGGAGGCCAGGCCCAAAAGAGTTAATTAAGAAATCTGGGTCTGCTAACAAGCTACTAACATCCAAACGGGCTGCACTTTTTCTGTTCTGTGGCAATGGATTTGCCATATGCAGGATGGAAGAAGTCCTGTCAGAGATGGACTAGTGAGGAAAAAGAAGAATACTGCTCAAATGTTATAGAAACAGAAGTTTTTAATGTGGTTTAAACAGGTTTCAAAATGACTTTTTGTATTTTCTGCAAGGTTACTCTTTCTTCTTCCCAACACCCCCTGTGAGGGACTTGTCTCCCATACAGGGTGTCCTGGGAAAGTGTTCTGAGGTGGTTTTTATTGGTCTTTGTTAACCCCTTCCTGTTGGCTGTTAACCCCTTACCTGATTGTTTTTTTCTGTGCCCTTGAACTTGTGATCGGCCCCCTTTTGACCCTCCTAAAAGCTTTATAAACCCCTTCCCCACAATAAACTTCCTCTTTCGTCCGTCCCTCCCTGGTGGTTTGTGTGGGCTCCTTGCGGGGTCGCCGGCCACGTGCGGGGGCGGGGGAAAGGGCATTCACCTCTCAGGTAATGGGGCTAGCAGCCTAAGGCCTGGAGGTCTCCCCCATCCCACTAATCCGTCGTACTGTTCTACTTACCTGACCAAAACTTAAGAGAATTTAAAAGAACATGTAATAGGCCTAGAGGTAGTAAATTAAGATGCAGTAGGATAAGGTAGACATTTGAATGAAAGAAACAGACTGGGAGCCAAGGCTTTTTCCAAGCTTCAGTGAGCTGGCAAGAACAATGGAAAAGAAGAGAGGTCAGGCTGAGGAAGATGAGTTTAAGCCCCCAGACCCATTGAGGAAGGACGGAACTACCCCGAAGATTGAGGGCCAATAGAAGCACCGCCCCAAGCCCCCCCTGAGCTCCACCTATACTCTGCCTGTTATTACTATGCATAGATAGATGTTGTAATCACTTGAATATGCATTTAATCACATCTGAAGATTGTATAAAAATGCTGATTTTGTGTGAAGCCTTTGAGCAAGTTTGTCCAGCGTGAGCTGGCTTGCTCCCAACGTTGAATAAACAAATACCTTGCTGCTTAAAGATAAAAAGTCTCTGAGCAGTTTCTTGGACCGATTTTTCGGATTCATATGGCGACCCGCCGCAGCACACCTTCACCACCCGGCTGCGGAATCCCTCAGAGAATGGGACCCCCTTGGGTAAGTCTTTTTACCAGAAGGGGCTCCCTTCTTCGGTGGCTTCTTTGGGGGGCTGGACAAGAACACGACCTATTGATAAAAGGTATTTGTACCTGGTTTCTGGTTTTGTCTGTTCTGGTTCTGGTTATTCTGGTTCTGGATACCCATGAGTCAAGGCGGGACGCCGTCTCGCGGGGGACACGGGAGAGGACGCTCTCCCAGGGGAATATCCCCTCTGGTCTGGTCTGGTCTGATTTTGTTTGTATTTGGCCAAATATTTTTTATTTTGAGAGAAAGAAGGTGGTCTTGTTCGTTTTCAGAAAAGTTATTATCTACCAGATATACCTCGCTTACCTTGAAACATCCAGGAGCACACAGTTAAAGGTATTATCATCCTAAGAGTTGCTATATGAGAGGTAGTGCTGAAGAGTTAACTATAAGCACACCACTTTGGGTAAGACCTAGAATTAAGATTAGTCCATTTTGCAACTGTTAGTTATATGTACGAGCCTTGTGTAACAGATGTAAGGTTTACCTCCCCGACAGACAAGGTTGGGTCAGAACCAGTGTGCATAATTGTAGAAAAGAGGGACACTGGAAGCAAGAATGCCCTGAATTAACAGGTGGAAATACAGCCATAGGAGGGGCTGTTGTTGCTTACAGAGTACTGAGTGAAGGGGGGGGGTGGCGGGCGAGTGCCTAGGGGACCTGCTGGTAAAAATTAAGCTAGGGGAAGAAAAAAGAAGAATTAGATTTTCTAATTGATACCGGGGCTACATTTTCTGTTTTGAATCAAAAATTAATACCTAAAAGTGATAAATACGTTTAAGTTGTGGGTGCCACTGGCCAATCAGAAAAGCTTTCTTTTGAAACCCCTGAAGTTCAAAATTGGAAAATCTGGGAGTTGTAATAGAATTCAAACAAGGTAAAATTGAATTTAAGGTAAAGAAAGAACAATTAATAGCAGCTCTGAGTTTAGCAACGGGCTATGTGAAGCCAAACCAGGAGAATTCAAATGTCAATCAAATTTCAGATGAAGTATACCCAGGAGTTTGGGCTATTAAAACACCAGGAAAGTCGAAAAGGGCAGTTCCCATTCAAATAGAATTACAGCCAGGAGCAAACTCAGTAATTAGGAAGCAATATGCACAGAGGCTGGAAGACAGAAGAGGAATTGAGCCAATAATAGATAACTTTTTGAAATTAGGGCTTTTGTAGAGTGTGAATCAGATTTCAACACCCCAATTTTACCAGTCAAGAAGCCAAATGGAACACACAGGTTGGCTCAGGATTTCAGAGCAGCAAATAAAATAGCTAAAACACACAGGCAGCTGTTGCAAACCTATATACCCTATTAACAATATTAAAAGAAAATCTAATTCGGTTCACAGTATTAGACCTAAGAGATGCCTTTTTTTCTGCCTTTCTGACACAGGAAAGTCAAAGGATATTTGCCTTCAAGTGGAAAATCCCACCATAGGAAGGAAAACTCAGCTCATTTGGACAGTGTTACCTTAAGGGTTCAAAAATATTCCCACAATTTTTGGGAATCAATTAGCTAAAGAATTGGAACAATGGTTAAGGGTGGAGAACAATGAGATTTATTACAAATCAGGCGCTTCCTTTTATACCCTGATACCATGGGACCATCCTAACCAATAGAGTTGTCTGTTCCTGTGCATGTCCCTTGATTCCCTTGCCCCTGGGACACGCCTCCTGCACTTGTCCAGAAAGAGAGGGAGCCAGCAGAGGTTCTGGTGCCGGTGTTGTGCCCTGGGGACAGTCAGTAGCATCGGTGAAAGTCACCATTCTGTCTCTTGCAAAGTTGGATAGTTAACAAGAACAAAAGGGTAATTTCACATAAGGCCAATTTCTTGTTCATTTTTCATGGAATTTTTGAAATAGGCCCTGTGGAGGTGCAGGTACGTCCAGGGGACAGTTTCTCCTGTCTCCTAGGAATCCTGCACGGCAAAGACTAAACAGGAAGGGTCAAAACCCCTTTTCCAGGTGTCAGTGGCTGGGCTGAAACACCATGTCATGGCAGAGCTACAGCTCTCACAATCTTCAGCCATGCATGGCAAACACTCTCTGCTCCGGAACTTGCAGCTCTGAATGACACCAAAGGCACTGCTAACCAAAGATGGCACTTACTGATTTCATTCCTTCAGGCATTACCTCTCCAACAGCCACAGGTTCCGTTTCCACTTCTTTCTCTTCAACCTCCTGTCCAGAATCAGGCTTTAGGATTAGGGTTAGGGTTAGGGTAAGGGTTAGGGTTAGGGTTAGGGTTATGGTTAGTGTTAGGGCTAGGGTTTAGGGTTAGGGTTAGGGTTAGGGCTAGTGTTAGGGTTAGGGTTAGCAAGGGTTAGAGTCAGGGTTAGGGTTTAGGGTTACGGTTAGGGTTAGAGATAGGGTTAGGGTTACAGTTAGGGATAGGCTTAGAGATAGGGTTAGGGTTAGGGTTTAGGGTTAGGGTTAGGTTTAGGGTTAGAGTTTAAAGATAGGGTTAGGGTTAGGGTTAGGGTTAGGGCTAGGGTTTAGGGTTAGGGTTAGTGTTAGGGTCAGGGTTAGGGTTAGGGTTAGGGTTAGCAAGGGTTAGAGTTAGGGTTAGGGTTTAGGGTTAGGGTTAGGGTTAGGGTTAGGGCTAGGGTTTAGGGTTAGGGTTAGCGTTAGAATTAGGGTTAGGGTTAGCAAGGGTTAGATTTAGGGTTAGGGTTTAGGGTTAC